AGCAAATTTTTTTTTTGGCCCGTCATGGGGCTTGAACTCTGGGCCTGGGCGCTGTCCCTCAGCTCTTCAGCTCAAGGCTAGCGCTCTACCACTTGAGCCACAGCGCCACTTCCGGCTTTTACTGCTTATGTGGTGCTGAGGAATGCAAGGCAAGCACTCTACCACTGAGCCACTTCCCAGCCCCCACACATGTATTTTATGTTCGACTATTTGTGTGTCTTGTATAGGTGCACAGGGACGCATGTGCACACATCTTCACTGATGTGTATATATGTATATTTCACATGTACAGATGCATGAGTACATTTTCTACATGCCTGTGTACAAGTGTGCATCTGTACACTCGGTTTGCATATTCTGTGTGTAGGTATACATGTGTACATTCTCTGAGTGTGTATGCCTTGGGTGTTCAAGATGCACACACACATTCTTTACATGTATATTTCATTTGTCTGAATGTGCATGTGTGTGTTCTGTGCCAGTGTGCGCAGGTGTGTTATCTGAGTGTACTTCATGAGTGCACACATACGCGGTGTGTGTGCGGTGTATCTGCTTTCTGTGTATGCAGATGTTTCACATGGTCAAGCGTGCACACGTGTGTTCTGCACACGCACGAGCATGTGTTCCTGGATGCACACTCGTCAGCCTGCCTGTGCACGTGTGTTCCTCACTGTTGTCCCTAGCAGAGGGCCCTGTCCGTGGCATCCTGTCATGTCTGCTCTCCGGTGGCATCCGGCCCCAGGCCTGGGACTCAGGAGCTTGTTTTCCTGTGGTAGTCACGTTCCTGTCCCAAGGACAGCCACCTGGTGGCCCCTTGGCCCTCAGGTGGTGCTCATTCAATGTGATCAGTCTGCTGGCCTGCACGGTACCAGTGTCACCATTTCGTCAGATAATGGACAGATTTGCTGGCCATGACAAACCATAGACCCTCCGCCCTCACCCGTCCTCAGCTCCCCCACCTTTGTCGCAGCAGCCCGGTGTGGGGACCAGGAAAGGGTGGGGACAGACATCACTGCCCGACACTGCAGCTGCGCATCTTCACGTTTCAGGGCCCCACAGACCTTGTTCTGTTTTCTCCTCAACGTGCGCTCTGTGGCTACACGGGACCCTAACTCCCCCGCCTGGCAGACACGGAGCTGCTCTGGTTTTGTTTTGGTTGGGTTGTGTTTGCTGTTGCTTGTGTTTTCATTTTTGGCGATCCTGGGATTAGAGCTCAGGGCCCCAGGCAGGAGCATTGCCCCCGAGCCATGCCTCAGCTCCCCTCCCCTTTTATGGCACTCATCAACTTTGAGCAGGTCTCATTTCCTTCCTGAGGCGTGCCTGGCTGGCAGCCTGTCTATCTGAGGTTTTCTGGTGTAGCTGGGACTACAGGTATGCGTGACTGTCCCCAGCACTTGGTTTGAAAGGGTCTCATGAAGTTTTTCTGCCTGGGCTGGGCTGCCTTTGAACCGCTAAAACCCAGTTTTAGCTTTCTAAGTAGCTGGGATCACAGGCATTTACTTCTATGAAGCTTATCTCTGAGAACTCAACTCTTCTAGAGTCTTCCTAGAAGGGAAACTTGTAGTATTTGTCATTGTGGTTAATTCATGTTGTAGCAGGTATCAAAATTCCCTTCCTTTTTAGGCTTGCATACTAACCCACTGTGTGGAATGGTTTTTCCACATTATTTGTCTTTTCACTGTGAGTGGGATCTTGGGTGGCTTCGCTTCTTTGGCTACTGTGAGTTAGCTGTGAATGTGGGTATGCAAATATCTGCTCAAGACCCTTTTGTGCACATGGCCGCCTGGGAGGGGCCGGACCCCGTGGCGTCCGAGTGGTGCTCTGAGGAGCGACCATGCCGCGTCGCCTGGGACCTCTGCTGGATTTCAGAGGTGGTGGCTGAGCTGAAGGCAGCGGCCCCCGGCGCGGCCCTCATGCCCTGCGCTCCCTTCGCAGAGGGCCCCGGGGTGAGGGCAGCCATCCGGAGAGCCGTCCCGACAGCCCGCCCAGAGCCCGGGCCCAGCAGGCGCAGGCGACACCCGGAGGACCCTGGCCAGTTTGCTGTCGCCCTGGTCATTGTTTACCGGACACTGGGCCAGCTCCTGCCTGAACGCTACGACCCAGACCGTCGCAGCCTTCGGTGAGGCCCGGGAAGGGGACCCAGGGACAGCCCGTGGCCCCCGGGCCCCGAGACCTCCACAGTCAAATCCCCGCCAGCATGCCCTTCCCTGTGACCTCGCGCAGTGACCTGGGCCGAGGGGTGGGGGGACCCGTGGCGGGAGCCGGCGCTCTGCCTAGACATTGCGCCTTGTCTTCTGAGCTCGCCAGGTGCCACTCCCTGTGTGTGCCCTCCTCCTGTCTGAGGGAGCCCTGCCCTGTCCCTGCGCCCCACACAGGGGTCGTAGGTGGCACTTGTGGTGGCCCCACCCACTGCTGGCCCCGCCCACTGCTGGCCCCGCCCACTGCTGGCCCCGCCGCAGGGCCCCTCGGCCGGTGGGCAGGACGGAGCCCCTGCCCAGGCTCTGCCCTGCACACCCGTGGCCGTGGCCATGTCTCAGCGCCCCGCATGGGCCTTCTCCTGGTTGAAACATTTCTGGAGGGCCCGTCGGCCCAGAGGGGACCATTTCTGTGTCCTCAGGCCCAGCTGGGCCCCGTGTCCATGGCCACGCCTTGGTGGTTCTGGCCCTCAGGATGGTCACAGCCAGGTTTTAAGCAAGCACATCTAACGCGCCTGCGCCGTGGCCCGTCTCCCGCAGCCTTCCCAGCCGGCCCACCATCAACACGGCCGTGGTGAGCACCCTGCTGTACAGCGAGGGCCCCCCGCCCCCCGCACCCCCGCCCGGGCCCGTGCTGGTGGACTTCGCCCTGCTGGAGACGGAGGAGCGGACCAAGCCCGTCTGTGTGTTCTGGAACCATTCCCTCGAGTGAGTGGCACCTTGCGGGGAGGGAGCACCTCCCAGGGGCCCCGCGGGGTCCCCAAGGCCACCGCAGAGGCTCCCGGGAGGCCAGCTCTGCTGCCCGGCTCTCCTCTCCTAGCCTCTTGGTACAGAAGGCCTCCTTCTCCTCCTCTTCCTCCTCCTCCTCCTCTTCTCTTCCTCCTCTTCTAGAAGTGGAGAGTCCAGAGACACACGTGTGTATAGACATGTGCACACAGGCTCGGGCATGCACACACACGAAGACATGCCGGCCTTGACATGTAGATATTCACACGCATGCATGAGGACGCAGTTGTACACAGTGATGCATGCACACACACAGACATGGAGCTGTGCACACACACACACGCAGGCAGCAGTGGGGCCGCTGGCCTCAGCTGCATCGCTGGCCATGCAGGCCGCCCCTGCCCAGCGGGGTGGGAAGGCGGCCAGAGGCGCGTGCGTGTGCGTGGAGGAGTTGTGGGTGAGCGTGGTGTCACCCCGGCTGTCCTGTGCGTGGAGGAGTTGTGGGTGAGCCGCGGGGTCACCCCAGCTGTCCTGTGCATGGAGGAGTTGTGGGTGAGCCGTGGTGTCACCCCAGCTGTCTCGTGTGTGGAGGAGTTGTGGGTGAGCCCGGGGTCACCCCGGCTGTCCTGTGCGTGGAGGAGTTGTGGGTGAGCCGTGGGGTCACCCTGGCTGTCCTGTACGTGGAGGAGTTGTGGGTGAGCGTGGTGTCACCCTGGCTGTCCTGTGCGTGGAGTTGTGGGTGAGCCGCGGGGTCACCCCGGCTGTCCCGCACCGGCTGTGTCTCCTGTCTCCATGCAGGGGAATCCGCAGTGGGCCTGGGCCACGGGAAGCTCTGGTCAGGGGCGTGGCGCAGCGTCAGGGGTCACATTTGGCCCAGGGCAGGGCAGACACCTCCCTGGGCCCCAGGTGCCTCCCCATATCCAAGGCTTGTCTGGATCGACAGCTAGAAATTTCTACACCATGGACCACAGATCACACCTCTGCTCCTCTCAAAGGGGAGCAGAGCCACCTTGCGTGGGGGCCGAGTGAGCAGGCTCACGCCCGGGCATGCGCCCCACCACCGCATCTGACAGAGCAGACCGCGGCTTCAAAGGAGCGATACTGGGACTACTTTCCCAGGGAGGGCAGGGTCCAGCCGGCGTCTGGCGGCCGTCTGGCTGTGGTCACTTGTTTGAATCCTAGCAATTAGCTCTGGCTTGAGTGACCTGCCCCTGGCTTTGTGTTGCTCTTTTATCCCCCGGATCTGAATGCCCTGGGCAGCACTTCCCATTTTACAGATTAGTAAACTGAGGATCAGAACGGTTATACAATGGTTTCCCAGAGTTGGGTGGGGCACGGCCCTTGTAACCGCTGGTTACCACAGGGCGGGAAGGGGGGAGCAGGCGGAATAATTGGGCCCTGGCTTTGAGGTGCCTTCTGTAATCATTGTGCAACCTGGAGATGAAAGAGAGTCGTAAGAGGAGGTTTTGTTTCCGAGCTCGGGGGAACCAGGGCAGCCACAGAACAAAGCTATTGTCTCAGCCACGGCCAAGCCCACGGGCCAGAGGCTGGGGACACAGCCCTTCGGGCTTCCCTGCTATCAGCGGTGGAGACCCGGGAGAGCCCTGAGCAGCCGTGCAGGGCGGGGAGCTCTCGCACAGCCCAGGGCGGTGGGCGGGGAGGGGTCCACATGGGGTGCTGCCAGGGTGGGGTCCACGGGCGGAAGTGTTCTCTGTATTTACACTTCCCTTCCAGTCTGGCCCGGCGAGAGGCCCCGGGGCCCCGGGCCGGGCAGAGGCTGCGCCCGCCCCTGTGGACGCGGGGCCCCGGGCCGGCCAGAGGCTGCGCCCGCCCCTGTGGACGCCAGCGTCTTCTCACCCCGTGTCTCCTCTCCTCAGCGTTGGCGGGACCGGAGGCTGGTCAGCCAAGGGCTGTGAACTCGTGTCCCGGAACCGGACGCACATCACCTGTCGGTGCAGCCACATGGCCAGCTACGCGGTGCTCATGGACATCTCCAGGCGCGAGGTGGGTCCCGCCCCGGCCTCCTGCCCAAGGCCACGTCCACCCCCAGCCGCCTCCTCCACACACGTCACTCACTAAAAGCCGGGCTCGAGAAATGGGCGAGGACGCCTGTGCCAAACCCCAGGAAAAGTGTTCTCAGCAGCAGTGGCGATCACCCCTGTAATCTTAGCTCCCAGGATATGAGGAAGGGGGTTCAAAGCCAGCCCAAGCTTATCTCTAATTAACCACCAAAAAAGCCACACGCGGAGGTGGCACAAGCGGTCGAGCGCCAACCTTGAGCACAAAAGCGAGAGTGCAAAGCCCTGAGTTTAAGCCCCAGTACTGGCCCACACGAAAGGAGAGGACTCGGGGACCCCACATTGTAGAGGAAGACCATGCAATAGACCCCATCCCCAGACCATGCCTCCTGCATGCCCGGGAATGTGAGGAAACGGACACAGGACACAGGGCATCTCCCGGCCACGCTCACCCCAGGACAGGAGCCAGGCCCCAGCCACGCCGTGGACAGTGTGGCTTGTGAAGCCCAGGGCTGTGAAGGCTCAGGGGTCACGGGGCTTGGTGGGCCTGACTCCACTCACCTGGTGGAGGTAGAAAGTGGGTGCGGCCAGAGGCCTGCGAGCCAGCGCCCACCCCTCCCGGGTTTGATGTGGCCTGGGGCGGCCCTGGAGCCGCCAGGGCGTCCTGGTGTCAGGGCCTGGCTTCCGCTCCCGCAGGATTGCCTTTCTGAGAGGTGCGGCTGAAGCCACAGCCGTCACCAGATCCCACGCCTTGCTCTCAGGCCGCCGGTCCCGGGGCCTGGCCTAGAGGGTCTTTGTGGGTGGTGTTTTTTGTTTAGATTGGGAGAGAGTTGGTCCGTCCTGGCAGGAAGCTAGGCAGTGCTGGGAGCAGATACGCACCCTGGGAAAGCCAAGGTTTAGGCTACTCAGGAGGCTGAGACCTGAGGATCGCAGCCCAAAGTCAGACCAGGCAGACCCATCCAAGAGTCACTTCAATTAGCCAGCAAAAAGCCAGAAATGGAGCTGTGGCTCAAGTGGTAGAGTACCATCCTTGAGTGGAAAAGCCAAGTGAAACCATAAGGCCCAAAGTTCAATCCCCAGGACCAGCACCAAAACAAACAAAAATGGAAGCAGCGTATGAGAGGAAGGTACCGAGGCCTGCGAAGCTGAGAGGCGTGGGGCCTGCCGCAGACTCCCAGTGCAGCCGGGCCTCGGCTGTGAGCTAAGGCCCGGGAGCAGCCCAGCCTTGGCCTCGCAGGACCCCTGGGCAGCCCACGGCTCACAAATGCATCCCAGACAGCACCTTCTAGTAGGTTCTGGAGCCTCTGGCGGTGCCTGAATGTGGGGACACTGGGTTCTGGTTGAAGTCGCACACTGCAGCGGCACAGAAGCCAGGGCAGGGCGCGCTGCCGCC